AAACACTAACTGGTACCCATTTTTTGTATATTTTTTAGTAGTACGTAGAGTTCATGACAGATCACCTGTCATTTTTTTTAAAGTTTAATATGTCAGTAACAGGAATTGAAAATTTTAAGGAAAGTATAATATTTTTACTCAAAACTATTGACTGGATATGTTTGTATATTCTAGGTGAAAACTGACTTTTGTCAGACTGTGCTTCCATACTTGATTCATGATATTTTACTGCAAGATACAAATGAATCATGGAGAAATCTGCTTTCTACACATATTCAGGGATTTTTCGCTTACTGCTTCAGACAGTCCTCACAAACAAGCCGATCCACAACCCCTGCAAATTTGGATTCAGGTATTCTGTTAAATTTCTCAAATTTGTACTGTTAATATCTCAGTTCTAGGGAAAGATAGATTGTTTGAATCCCATCAAGGCATGTTGTAGGCTTAATAATTCTATAACTTTTAAACATCTGTTCTGTCATCTGTAGAATGGAGATAAAAGTTGTAGCCAGTTTTCAATGAAACACCCAGGACAGTACTTGGACCTCAGTAAATATTGTAAAAAATTAATGGAGCAACCAATTGAGCATTCAGTGTGCATCAAGCAGTGTGCACGGAGCTGGCAGTAGAATGTGAACAAGATATACCCTACATTCTAGCAATGGAAACAGCAGACAAATAAATACAATGACATATTGTAGGTACTGTGTTGGAGATATGATGGAATTTTATATTAAAGCTCTGGTCCACTCATTTTTTTGAAAGCAACCTTGTGTATTATAAAATCATATTTATTGTGGAAAATATAGAAAAATTAGGATAAACCTTAAAATTTATTATTTTATTGCCCATAATCCTGTGATCTAGGGTAACGACAGTTAACATTTGGTATATATGTTTAAGGTTATTATTAATGTATTTTATGTGCAAACGTAAAACTAGGTACAGATTCAGATATTGTACTTCAAGACCAGTACAACTACACGGAAAATATTGATTTAATGTGACATTTTGGTGCAACTAAATTGTTCTTCCCTACCGTGACTGGGTTCAGTCCCTTTGGCATACGTTGTGATTACTCAATTCTCCCAGTTGTTTCTTTCACTTTCACTACGACAACCTTTATTGGACATGACTGGGATGTCATTTAAACCTCACTTTGCTCTGTTTTATGTGTGTTCCTTTTTATGGGCCAACAGCAGTTAATCAGTCTGCTATTTGAAATAATGTAATTATTAAGCATAGGCATGGATGCCCATTCTGTGGTCCTACTAGACCATAAGTTGGTTGTGTAAATGACCCAGAAGATGCTGATACGAGTTTTCTTCAGGCCATTGAAATGAAAATCCTAAAATAAAAATTTTTATAGAGACTTTGCAAACTGTCAAGTCTATATTTCCTACTCTTAATTTGGGAAATGTAGGTATAAGTGATTCACAGTTACCAGTAAGCATTTAAATTTTAATGTGATGTAACTTGAAGTGATAATAAAAATAATTTTATTACATGCCAAGTTTGATATAATTGCTGCTTATGATAACCTGACAATCTGTTATTGTCAACATGGCTAAGACTTTTTTTTTAATGTTTATCATTTGTACATACATATTTATGCTGCAACCTTTCAGAAATAAAATCAGCCAGTTTTATTTTATGTCTGTGTAGAGTGCCAATATTTTTATTGCCTTAAATGAAAATTTAAACTTCACACATAAAATTCTATTGTTGAAAAGGAAAGTAAATATAGATTTCTTATTCATGGTTGTTCACTGAGCACCTAGTGCATTAAAGATCCTAGATGAATAGTTACTGAATCAATGAATTAGCCCTCTTCAGAAATAAAATATAAGTTACAATTAAATTCTCAGTTTTATAAAGCACAATATTTCCTTTTAAAAGAAAAAGAAATGCCATTAACATCCATTTATCGATTCATAGTTATTAAGAACCAGTTTTCTGCCAGAACCTTATAGTGTAGAAGACAGACACACAGACAAAAGGAGGAAAGTGCTTAAACAAGTCTGCCTGGGACTGAGAGGAAATGTCTTTATTTATCAGAGTCCGAGCACTTTTTCCGATGCTGTTTGGACAAAAAATCACAGAGAACAATGCTTGCTGTTGTGGACTACTTGAGGAGACAAAAGAGGTAATATGAATATTGGTTTTAGAGTTTGGGGGTTGAGAAGTCTAACTTGTTACTGCGGGCTGAATTTTAGCATGATCATTGGAGGGAACGCTACTGCCGGGTGCGTAATGTGATGTATGTAATGTGTGTGATGCTTGTAGCTCCTTGTGTGTAATCCATTCAGGGCGGCACTTTGGTGAAATCAATGTCAAGAACTCTGAATTCTTTTTTTTTTTTAATTAAAGTATAGTTGATTTATAATATTGTGTTTCAGGTGTACAGCAGAGTGATTCAGTTACATACATGTATTTTTAAGATTGTCTTCCATTATAGGTTATTACAAGATATTGAATATTGTAGGAATTCTGAATTCTAGTCCCAACTGTACTAGTAACAGTATTATCTTTGCTAAATCATTCAGTCTTCTAGGGTTTTAGTTTATTTCATCTACCAAATAATTGTAAAGGAATAAGTGATTTTCTAGGTTACTTTTAGTTGCATTACTCCTCTTTTAACTTTTTGCTTTACTTCTGTCTCAGAAGTAGCCAGAATTATGTAAAAAAGCTCCTTTGTGTATCTTTATTATAAAACAAGTTTCTTTACTGTGTACCATAGTCCTCAGTATCTGTGGTTCTGTATGGTAATAATACTTTATTTTCTTGATTCTGATAAATTGATTTATAATACAGTATTTTTGTTCCTATTATTTCTCTCGAGATTTTTAACAGTGAGTTTAGGAATTCCTAGCAAGAGTGGTCTGATCTGTACTGCTCCAGGGTTGACCAGAGCTTTGAAGAAATGATGTAGCAAACCTTTAACTAGAGTCAGTAGGCATTGATTTCTCATGAGTTTGTATGGTGGTCATGGCAGTGGGTTGATAAAGAATGGGAGAGAATGGGAGAAAAATGAAAAATTGTTTAACCTAAATGCATTTTCATATTAAAAATAAACTCCTCTGTAATCCACCTCATACCATTACATCGACTCTTAGAAAAAGAAGTATTTGGCCTTTGGTCTTTGTTTCTGGTTAAAAAGTTCCTGATTCACCAGACTGTTTTGTACCAAATCCTCTTGTGAGAATGCCCATAAGAAGCTTTAACTAAAACTGTAACTTTAACTAGAGCTGGAAGTATCTCTTTTCTCAGTGTTGGGGGGCAGTTCACCTCTGAATCATCCATTTCATGTTTAACATTGGGCTAGAATGGTATTGACATTGGTTGTTGGCCTTGGAGAAAATAAATTTTCTCAATATTAAGTTTTAATTCTGAGTAAGACCTTAAAGAAGATTCCTTGAGAGAATGTGAGTGGGGCATTGAATAAAGGCTCAAGTTCCTCAGAACAGCTACAATTTAGTGTTGGCTCTGTCATAGACACTTTATTCATCAGCTTTATAAGCATTATTTATTCATTGCAACTATTCTGTGAGGTGTATATTACTTTCCAGGTCTTACAGATGAGGAAACTGAGGCTTAAGAACTTAAGTTGCCAAAATTCATACAGCTTGTCATAGGTGACCCAGGTGGGTGTGAGCCTAGCTGCAGTGCTCTTAACCACACCTTGTCACGTCTCTATAATGTTAATTTTGAAAAAGGTAGTATCTGTGATATTATTTTCCTCCGTTATCACAGTGGAAGACTTTTGTTAAATAACTCAACCTAGGCAGTTAACAAAGGAGAAAATTAACAGCAATAGGAAAGATACATAACTGTGTCTTAGAAGAAACAATATTTTCATTAAGTTGGCCTTTTGAAAAGATTTGTGTATGTGTTATTAGTTGTTCTGTGTAGCCTATTAGCCACTGTCTGTGGATCCCTCTGTGGAGGGTAGGTATTGAACCCCAAATATGTATGGGATGATGGTCCATAGCTTTCATCAGATTTTCTAAGGGGATCTTTTTCTAAGAGATTTTTTTTAACTGTATCTTATTTGATGATACTTATTCTCCTTACCAAGCTGTATCGTAAAAGGATAATGTCACGTCTGGTGAGCACACACATGAGAAGTTCAACATTGTGAAAATCAGCATTCAGTAGCCTGCTAGCCCGCGAAGTACCAGCTATAGTCTGTACCTCTCCTTGTTACCCACTTTTTTCTGGTTTTTGCTTGAGTTCTTCTCTGAAATTGTAAGCAAAGAGATGTGGGTTATTATCACATGTTTTCTGGTTTATGTCACAGAGGCTCTCAAAGTGTGAGACAGAGCTGGCTGGGTCAAAGAGCGATCCAAAAAGTGACAGAGGTCTTAGTTATCTTAGTTGTTTATAGCTATATATTGGGGATACGTGGTTTTTGGTTATTTGAATGTAATTTCTTTAACTAGTGCTTACTACCATTGTATTCTGTATCAACATGCTTTTGATATTGAAGTTAAAGACATGGGCATGACTTCATTTAACATTTTTCTTTAGACCTTCCTCAGGAACAGTTTTTGAAGATGCTTTCTGGCTGGAGTTGAATTACCTAGAGGTTGCCAAGGTAGCTCAGTCTTGTGCTGCTCACTTTAC